AGTCCCTGTGTTTTTCATTTGTGTGGTGGCAACTTTAAATTGAGTTGTAAGCACTTTGGTGTCTTAACGCTCAACCAGCTAATGTTAGAAATGTTAGAAAGCATAACATTTCAGAGTGGTTTTATTTCATAAAACCCTTTGTATTCTTTGGTGGTTTGAGAGAATATTTGGTATGAAGCACTGAGATTAGCCTGTAGTTTGGAGAAAATGTTTTAACCTAATCTTCAGAACTTGATTTTGGTTGATGAGCAGAAGATGAAGTGTATACGTTTGTGACTTTTCAGTGAAATAAATGAAGTGTACTTAAAGAGTCAGAAAGAAAATCTCTGACCCACTATTATGAACAAGTACTACCTAAAAAGAATGTTGTGAAAATTTAGGAGCCTTGAACCACTACACAACTATACTTGCTACATTCTTTTTCTTTCTTTCTTTTTTTAAAGAGAGGGACTGAGGGAGGGAGGAAGAGGAGGGGGTAGAGGGAAAGAGAATCTCAAGCAGGCTCCACACCCGGCACATGAGCCCAATGCGGGGCTCGATGTTATGACCCTGAGATCATGACCTGAGCTGAAATCAGGAGTTGGACGCTTAACCGACTGAGCCCCCCAGGAGCGCCCCCTTGCTATGTTCTCATGTTCATTTCATCTTTGTCCAAGTCTGTTACTGCCAGTAGATTTTGAGTTATCTAGAGGCATGCATTTATTTGTTCATTGTTTAATTCTCAACATCTAGTGTCTGCATAGTGAAGATTCATTTCCTGTTCATTGACAATATTTTTGAATGTCAACGTCATTGTTAAATCCAGGTAATGGGTACAGGTATCTGTGGATGAATCTGCATAGCTGCATGGAATTTGTCTGTTTTAACCTTTAAAGACTTTTTTTTTTTAAGATTTTATTTATTTATTTGACAGAGAGAGAGATAGCGAGAGCAGGAACACAAGCAGGGGGAGTGGGAGAGGGAGAAGCAGGCTTCCTGCCGAGCAGGGAGCCGGATGTGGGACTCGATCCCAGGACCCTGGGGTCATGACCTGAGCCGAAGGCAGACGCTAACGACTGAGCCACCCAGGCGCTCACCTTTAAAGACTTCTAAGGTGATGCCTGACTGCCTCCCCCTGCCCTGTCCCGCCCCCCTCCAACATTTGATCTTAGCCAGTCATCATTCAGTTCTACCTTAAATTAGAAAATAGTGTCATTTGTATGTTTTGGGTTGTTTTGTTTTTTTTTTTAACTTAAGATGATACGTATATTTTCTTTTTACTAACATTCTTGGGATTCTCTGCTTTTATGTCCTGTCATCACAATAGACAAAATATACCATAACATTTTTATGACTGTTTCCTTGTTCATAATGGTAGCATTTTTGTATTAAGTACAGAATTTTATTTTATTTTGTTTTGTTTTATTTTATTTTTTAAGATTTTATTTACGTAATCTCTATACCCATCAGGGCGCTTGAACTCACAACCCTGAGATCAAGAGTTGCACACTAACTGAGCCAGCCAGATACCCCCTAAGTACAGAACTTTAGAAAAATTAAGCGGGAAGAGCCAGAAAATTCTGCAAATGAAGAGCAATGATGGGGATGGTTAGATCAACTAGATATTAAAATATAATATCAAGCTTTAATAGTTAAAACCGTGTGGCACTGGCACATGAGTAAGACAGGTCAGTATATCAAAATAAATAGAAAGTGCTGAAAGAGATCTAAATGTATATGGAAATTTAGTAAGTTATTAGAAAGACATTTAAATCAGTGGGGGAAACCACGGTCCTAAAATGATATTGAGGCCACTTGGTAAACATCTGAAAGATATTAGCTTAGATCCTTTTCTTATACCTCACACCAAAATAAATTCCAGATGGAGCATAAGTGTAAACGTAAAATTATGAAACCATAAAAGTACTAGAAAAAAACATGTGAATGTTTTTATAATATTTGAGTGATAGTGACTTTTTAAAAATTACATTGCAGAACCTCAGAGGCCATTTTTAAAAATGATGAGTTTGACCACTTATCAGATTTCCACCTGGTGAAAGAAAATTGCATAGTCAAAAGACACATAAACTAGGGAAGTAAAACATATTTTGCAAACTAAGGATGAATTTCCTTAATGTATAAAGTTTTTCAAATAATAGGATCAGAAATCTAACAACAGAGTGGGCCAACATTATGGGAAAGGAAATACAAATTGCTTTAAACATATGGAAAGCTTTGTGATGCAAATTAAAACCACAATGAAATGCCATTTCTCCGATTGGCAGAGATTGAAAGTTTCGATTGTACACTGTGTTGGTAAGGATGTGGGGAAATGAACACTTGTGTCCATATGTTGCTAATGGAAATGTAAAATGGCACAACTTCTATGGAAAATAGTTTTGTGCTATAAAACATAAAAAACCTGACACGCATCAATTCCAATTCAAGGAATTTATCCTCGACAGATTCACAAATGATAAATGTCCAAGAATATATTTTCCTAAGTGGTTATAACCATTTTAAACCTGCAGTATCCATGTTCTACATAGTCCAAATCCTTGCCAGAACTTGTTACTCGGTCTTTTTAATGTTAGCCATTCTGGTGGGTGTGGTGATATGTTATGGCTTTAATTGGCATTTCTGGTAACTGATGTTGAATATATTTTCAGGTGCTTATTAGGCATTCATCTATATTTGGTGCCCTTTTTTGAAAAATGGATTTTTTATACTTGAGTTGTTAAGTTTTTTGTGTGTGTTTTGGATACAAATCTGTTTTCCAGTTTGTGTTTTGTTAATATTTTCTCATAGTCTTTGGCTTGCATATTTATTTTCTTAATAGTTTTTTGAGTACAGTATATAATTTTCACGAAGCCCAGTTCATCAGTTTGTTGTTTTTTTGTTATGGTTAATGCTTTTTTGTGTACTAATATATATTTGTATACTCCAGGGTGAAGAAAATTTACTCCTTTTTTTTTTCTGTAGAAGTTTTATATCTTTAGCTTTAATGCTTAGCTTTTTTCCCCTCAGCAGATTTCAAAATGGTCTATAACCCAAAACGAAAATAAAGAAGATTTAGACCCATTGCTTTAGACGGCTGGTTTTTCACATTTGTCAACATGGTCAGCATCACATCATGCTGCCACTTTCCACCAGTAAAACAGTTTCTGAATTAATGGATAGAATGACATTGCTTTTCAGTCTTTATTGCACCTACTAATTATGAATTCATCTCTAAAGAATCCTGTGTTAGGAATTTTCATGTTGGATGAGTATGTGGACCACCTGGAGCTGCCCCTTACGGACGGCCTTTCCTGCTCCAGGGTCACCAGGTGTCAGCAATGCCGTGAACGGTCTGGGCAGGTCAGGGTCAGGCACCCGAGTTCTAGTCTCCCTCTAGTCATGCTCTCTCTCTTAGCCGGCAAGCATTCCCATTTCATCTAGAATATAGCCCGAAACATGGATTTTGAGGCCTCACGGAATCTGTCCCAACCTACCTTTCCATTTCTGCGGTACCCTGTTTCCTGTTCCTCGGGGTGATCTCATACCAGGCCCCACTCTGTGTCCTCATTTATCTTGTTCCCTTCATCTAGATTATTCTCATTCCTTTTCATCCTGCCCTAGACTTAACTTCAGTCATCTGTTAAATCCCCAGTAAAACTCCCCATCCCCCTTGACCTCTCTCCCAGCCTCTCCGGCAGGAGCTGGTTCGCATATACTTTCTTCAGTTACGCTCTCCGCCGTTCCCTTGTGGACTTCTGGATGCTTCGAGTGCTGGGAGGGTGTAGTGTTCCTTGTGTGTCTGAGTGAGGCTTCATATAGTGACCTGCACATAGCAGGCAGGTTAGAGTGCCTGTCTGTTAAAAAGGTATGTAACAGTGCTGGGTCTGTAACAGCAGTATTCTTTGTAAAGGGTTTCGTGCTAGAAAGTGTTTTTCAAACTCTGAGGTTGTGACCCACTTGCTGTTTGTAAAAGCAGTATTTATGGTTCAAGAGTATCATTGAAAAATGAAATGGAATAGGGTAGGAAATAAAAGATTACATAACATGGGTAAGCATTCTATGTAAGAGGTTTGTTTCTAGTTCTTTATTTGCATATATGTTTGCTAGGTTGTGATGTAAAGTGTATTTCTTACTATGGGTTGTACTAAACAGAGTTGAAAAACACTACTGGATTTTAACCTCCATAATGAATTTTGAATTTCAAAAATTTAGAGAAGAGATATTTGGAATTTTAATTAACTTTGATGCTTCTGAAAATTTTCACTGAATGATTTCACGTAATTTGTACCATCCCCTGTTGATTGTCTACCAGATTACCTGTAGGCAAATGATTTTTTTCTTCAGCATCTAGTGTATAGTCTTTGTTTTAGACTTGGAGTACATAATTGGGTTATAAATATAGAAATCATTTTTGCTAAATGGCATTTTTGAAGAAACTTGAGAGGATTTTTTACATAGAAGTTTACCTAAAATTTCTGTAATGTTTTTTAAACTTCTCTTAATTTACATTTACCAGTTTAGATTGTTCATGAAAGTTTCTTGACAAAACAGTACTTTTTAATACATTAGCATGGAATGAGTATTATCAACTGAGTCTACAAATGAAAACATCCTGAAATTCCATTTTGGAAAAGAAGTTTGCTCCAGATGTAAATTGTAATGCTGTCATGCGTGGAAAGACATTTCACTTTGATTTCAAAACTGGGTATTCTCTGCAATCAGCTCAGCAAGAATCATATATTAAATATTTCTTCAAAAAGAAAGTAGAAACCCGAATCTTCCAGATCAATACAGGCATCACAAATAGTGATGCATTACTTTTAGAGAGCTTTTGAATCAAGTGTGCATTCTTGGGATGGGGAAGCAGTTCCTAGAGTCGCTTAGTATTTACAAGAAAGCTGTTTCTGGTTGACTCTGTTTAAATTGGTGATTAAAACCTTTCCTAGAACTCTGGAGCCTTGTAACCAGGAAGTTACTGTGTTTGTAATGCCTGTGTTTTTTTTTCCTTCACTTCTCTTTAGGGTCAGTACAGACCTTCTGATTTGTTGTGTCCTGAGACGTATGTTTGGGTGCCCATTGAGCAGTGCCTGTCTTCGCTTGATAACTCCAAGTACTGCCGTTTCAACCAGGATCCAGAAGCAGGTATGTTCGGAGCAGAGCTCTGCCAGAAATCGTTGACAGTGTTTTTAGGTTCCATGTATGTGGTTTTGGCTCTTCATAGGGTCCAGGTAGCTTTTTCTCTATTGTAGAATGTGCATGAATGTGTGCGTGTGTGTGTGTGTAAGCCTTTGGGACAGGGAGATAACATGTGTGCACGCATACAGCACTCTCACTTTGGGAAATAAATGCAGAAACCTCCTGTGCCTCTGCTCCTTACTAACCCATCTTCTTCTGTTACTATTGTTATATGCTTTGAGGGCTGATACCACTTTCCATTTCTTTTTACAACTATCACAGTGCATAAAAAAAATTGCTCACGGGCGCCTGGGTGGCTCAGTTGGTTAAGCGACTGCCTTCGGCTCAGGTCATGATCCTGGAGTCCCTGGATCGAGTCCCGCATCGGGCTCCCTGCTCGGCAGGGAGTCTGCTTCTCCCTCTGGCCCTCCCCCCTCTCATGTGCTCTCTCTCATTCTCTCTCTCTCAGATAAATAAATAAAATCTTTAAAAAAAAAAAATTGCTCACTAGATTGTTTAGCTAAGGTAAAGAAGATAGAAATACTGACCAGTTGGACTAAATAAAATTGAGGAATGGTTTCCTGAGGGCCAACAGGCTGGGATGGGTTTTGTGAAAATGCTTCCTTATTCTTCGTGTGTGTGTGTGTGTGAGAATGCTTTGTTGCCTTTCTTCGTACATCTCTGGTGCCTCTCCTTTTTTGTCCCTTCTTCCACCTTCTACGCAGTAGAGCCCTAGCCCTATTTGATCTCCTTAGTATTCCCCATTTGGATACTCTGTGCCCTAGTAGTAGGCACAGACCGTAGTAAAAGTATAGCCCCGGGGTCAGACTTCCTGCGTTTGCATCCTGGCTCCATCATCAGCCTGTCAGTTGTGGCCCTTAGGCAATTTCATCATCTTCCTGGCCTTCAAAATTAAGATAATAACAGAACCTACCTTACTGAGCTGTAATGAGGATCAAAGTAAGACAAACATGCTGAGAATAGTCCTGTATTATCGCTGAGTCGGTGGCTGCTAGGCAAATGAGCACACTGGATCCGCTACACTGTACCACAGGCTTTCGTCTGCATCTGCCTTTATTTGGTCTGATTCTTGTCTCCAAAAAAATGTGCAGTTCTACTCACCTCCCTTTTGTCTAGACCCCCCCTCAGTTTACTGCAGTCTCCCTCTACACAGCCCTCCTCACCCTGCCTGTGTTCTGCTGCAGCTTTGTTCATCACGTGTGAGTTGTGATGCTCTCGTGATGGGTTGCATCAAGTTCCCCTGCGTGTTCTTCCTCCGACTGAAGTTCCTGGGTGTTCCCCTGTGTGCTTCACTGAGTTATGACTCCTCCCAGCCCACCAGAGGAGATGCCTGATGCGCAATTAAGAATAAAATATTTTTTATCTAGTCATCTATGGTCTAAGCTTGGAAAAAAAATCAGAAAAGAGAAGTGGAAAGGCCAGGCGAGGGGAAGGGAGTAAATGGAAAAATCAGATAGGAAGACAAAAGGGACAAGAGAAGAAATGCAGTAATTTCTTCTGTTCTAGGATGTGCATTTTCCCCGCATAAGTCAGGTTTTTTCTTACAAAAAAATTGGCTCATGTTCCATTGTATTTTGGTATCTCCTTGAAAAGCTGTTATGAAATCAAGAGGGGGCACTTCTTACCCATGATGATAGCTTAGAATCTGATGAAGATGTGGCCTTGGGACCCACCTGACTCCTAGGCCAGGCACCCCAAGGTCACCCCCAGGTTTCCTAGATATTTTAGGTTCATAGAGCAACCATGGCTTTATAGTTCTTGCACCTTCAGGATTCCATTCTTTGTTTCTAAGTAAAATTACACCTGACTGATCAAACAGATGTGTTGCTTAAAAACAGACCTATTGAATTTGTCAACTAGGGTTTGAGTCAGGCTCAGAAGGAAAAGCAATAATAAGTAGTTTAGAGAAAAGCATATACTTAATCCACTGTCCCTTCAAAAACTATTTTTTTCCCCTTTTAGCAAATTTTCTCCAGGGTGGCTCAGAGCCATTCCCTTATGGTGAAAACTGCTAACCATGTTCGCTGCATCATTTCATGTTCATATACAAAAATTTGTAAGTTCCTTCCAACTAAATAATATGATCATGAGTTGGTTTCTGACTCCCAAACTTAAGACACAGTTTCACCTTCCCCTTTTTCTTTCCTTTTTGATCTGTTTTAAAGTTTCCTTCTTTTATATAATACCTGGAAACTAAGGCCATCACAGGCTCTCCCTGTTCTATAAAGTTGAAAAGGTAACTGAATACTTTCCATGCACCGAATGGACATTCAAGTAAAGATTCATTCATGTTAATAGGTTCTAAATTTATTTTCCAAAGTAAGTATAAATGAGCATTTCATGGCAAAATTTGAAGTCTCGTTTCGATGGTGTGACCCCGTGGTGAGTGAAGAGTATGTAGCATGCTCTCCTCCTGTAACCTATTAAATTACCTTTCTTACGGCACAAGCTTTAGCTCTTAATATTCATTGTTTAGAATTCATTTACAAAAGTCAGAGGAGTAAATTTCTCCAAGAATAGTGCTTCAAAGAAAAGGAAGATCCTTTTCTGTATGCTGAATCTTTGCAACTTTCAAGAGAACATCATACAGTTTTATCAGTATTGAATATCACAGTCCAGACACTATTTGAAATCAGACTTCTATCCTGTGGTTTTAGGAAATTAAAATGCAGTTACATGCTGGAGTGTATTGAGCATGCTGTGAAACATGGTCATTTGAGATTTAAATGGCAATCTGTGAGAAACTGTTCTCTTCTCTTGGGCCAGTTTTGCTCTTACGTGACCCAAACAAAATACAGAGCTTAATATGGACACCATTGTTAGTCGGCATGGTGCTTTTTTTCCCCCACTAAATCTTGTTTCTCCTCCCAGCTTTTCAGTAGTTAAATTGCTCTGCAGAAGGCACAGCTGATCACCACAGGTCCCTGTAAAACAGAGCTTGGCTACAAGGTGCATCGGGGCCACTTGTAAGAAAAATTACATTTCCCTCTATCCTGAATTGATGTAAGCCTCTGGAAATCCTATTCCTCCCTGCCCTTGACCTCCCCCTCCCCCACCTCCCACATTTTGGAGGTTTGGGGTATATGGTTATTTACTTAATTAGGAAGTCTGCAGAATGATAAAAACCTGTTGTATTTACTGCTTTAATGTATGGTGGCGGGGGAGGGAGGGGCTGACAAACAGAAGCCACGTGAAAAATTCTAAAGACGTCCCTTTGTTCACGAACTGGTCTTTTGTTTTTGAATTCAGGACCTCTGCTGACTCTAAACAAAGGATTTTAGAAGGTTCTCACTTGATTTTTAAGTAAAAATCTGTTAGATTGCTTATTAAATTGATAGTTGGATATGTATAGAATTCAAAAATTCTTCATCACAGTTACATTTTGCTTTTCTTGTTTTAAATTATCTTTTAAAAATGTTTACTGCGAATAGTAGTAGATTTATCCAAATGCATAAAACCACTGGTAAGAAGAAATTGAAATGACCCTCTCATCTCTCTGTACAGCAGTAATCACTGTCAGTGTTTTTATGCTCTCCGTCCGATGCTTTTTTCTCTGCATACCTCTGTGTACATTTTTTAAAAAACAGAGCAGGAGTCATCCTTCACACTTTTGTTATTGTTTTTACTGAATGCTCTGTGTTGCTTCTTCCTTTTAGTAAGGTAAAAAACTACTTGACCACTGATCTGGGGTTTCAGCGGACAAATGCCAGTAATTGGGCGATAGGCTGTGTCCAACACAGATATTTACAGACGGCATTGATGGAGTAAACCAGATGTTTTGGAGTTGGTTTTAGAACCATGATAAATTATGATTTGATTTGACTCTTAATGTTGTACAGGTGTTGTACTATTTATTGTTGGTAGTAAAATCCTTTTGCTTCCAGATTTATAACAAATGACAACTTCACCGAGCATACAGTATTTTCAAGTATCCTATGGTTCCTCCTGGGTGACCTCAGTTGATCCTCAGAACATGATGGAATTTTTCGTCATTGACCCCCTCAGATATCATTTATTGGGAAAAATACCAGTGAATACTTGTTTTTAATCAGAGATTTAAAATAATTTTAGTTCAAATATTGCTCTCTCATTTTTATAAGTAGCTCTTTTTAGTATTGACTTCAAAGGAGCTAATTAGAATGGTCTTTATTCTGTCTCTACTGATAATTACAGCAATATAGTCATTTTTACCACAGATTAGTCTAGATTTCACTCCCTCTTTTCTGTACATACTTTGAAATGTTTGTAAGAAATTTTCTAATTTGTTTTAAGTCATAATATTAGTAAGGATATTGAGTTTAAATTTACCGTAAAAATAATGGCATCTAATTTTATCTTAGTGCTTTATGCATTTACCCAGGTTAGAGAATTTCTAGGACATTTTACCTCTTCCCAGCCAGTTAATGAAAATCCAAGTGTAAGGAGCTTTCTTCTGGTTTGATCACCTGAAGTTCCAAGGCTCCAGTCTGTTATTTTATGTTGTTTCATCGGTCTCTTTACTCCATTCTTCTTTCTTGCCGGCATGGTTCCCTGGCATTTTTCTATATTTTTGTAGTCTCTGTCCCATGTGCCCATGGAAAAAGCAGGTCCCACTCTGACCGTGTGCGAAATAATCAGGTTCAGAAAGAGCTCTGACCTGTATTTGCTCGCCTGGTTTCTCTAAGTCTGGTATCACTTTCTGAATACTGTGTTCATGGTTCCTCAAAAGAGCATACCTTAGCCACAGTGTCACCCTGATCACTGGGAAATAATACGTAATGAGAAGGCAGATTTACCAGAACTTCCAAAGGCCCCTAAAAATGTGCTGCAGTGGTAACTTATAATTAAGTGGACAGTGTCTTTCTTTATTATAGGTATAGAATTAAGCTGGCTTTGAGGTTGGATACTTAGTAAACATATATTCTTTGTTGCCAGTGAAGATGGTGGTCCTGGGATGTGTAGCCAGG